GGTGATGGTGAGGACGCCCAGGGCTGGGAGCCAGGCCACGAGCTGGGACGGCCTTGGGCCTCTCCTACCTGTGGGTCCCCGTTTCGCAGACATTAGTGTTCATGAAGCCAGTAGCCCACGATGCCTACCTTGGAGGGACCTGGGAGTCGTCTGTGCCCTCGGAGGCCAACAGGCTGTGACCTACTCAGGACAGAGTGTGCCTGGCACCCGCCCCCACGCTGGTGCAGGCCTGGCACGGAGCAGGTGCTCAGTCAGTGCATGCCGGCCCGAGCACAGCCACGTGGCATGGCCTGCAGGTGCCCGGGGGCCGCTCCAGTTTATGGAAATGCCTCGTTGGGTGGCCCTGAGGACACAGCCCCCACCCACAGGCTCTCCTGGCTCCCGTGCCCGCCGTCCAGCTGCAGCTGGGCATCCCGAACACCTGGGGCCGGCATGCACTGATCGAGCACCCTGCCGCCTGCCCGCCTCGCTTCAGGGGTCCCGGAGCCTTGCTCCTCGCCGGCCGCTCGGCGCTGGGCGTGCAGGCTTAGCCCCGACAGCTCCGTCGCACGGCCCGGGCTGGGCTGGATTTGGACCCCGCCCTGCTGGGTGCCCTGGGGTCTGCCCTCGCCTCGCTGGCCTCAGGGTCTCCCAAGGGACCCCGAAGGCTGGATGGTCTCTGGGTCCCACCAACCAAGCTTCCTGCCCTCGCTGCCACACGGTCCCATCTGGGTGACCACCCCCCTCTCAGCAGGGAGCCCCCCCCTCCCCCGCGGCTCCCACCTCGCACAGCCGGAGCCTGGGGCCGGGCAGCCATCCCTCTGTGCCCGGAGTGGGTCCCAGGCTTGTCCCTGCACACTCCCGCTGCGGCTCCTCAGAGGGTGGGAGAGGGGGCAGGGGAAAGGCCAGGACTCACGGAGAAGACAGGCTGCCCTCTGTCAAATGTCATTCACTCATCACCACCGTGTGTGCAAGGTAGCAGGCAAGCGAGGTCAGCAAGGCGCACAAGGTCAGCAGAGTGAGAGTTTCCATCTCACGAAGGAGGTAAGGGCGGCCCAGCGGGGCCTGAGACTCGCCGGCCATCACGCTAGTGAAGGCAGCACCGAGCTGTGCCCGGCCCCGGCCCTGCCTCCCACCAGCACTCTCCGCTCCGAGGGGCTGGTGGCCAGAGGGCCCGGGTCGGGAGGGAAGCCTGGGTCAGCTGCGTTGGGTCTGATGCTGCTGGCTGCTCCAGGGTCTCTGTCCTCAACTTAGAGTCCTGGGAAGCAGAGAAAGGCGGGAAGTAGAGCTCACGGAATGGGGCATGGAGGTCTGTGAGGGCTGGGGCCACGGGAGGTGACTGAGGGGAGTCGGCTCGGGGGAGAAGGCTCTGCAGAGGGGTCAGAGGGGTTGAGTCTTGCTCCAAAGTAGAAGAAACTCAATTCAGATCCATTTCAACAACAGGAAACGGAGTGTGGCCGGCTCATCCCGGTGCTCCGCCCTGGGCTGCCCCAGCAGGCCCCCGGGAAGGCAGCCCCGCTCACTCACAAGGCCCTGAACCTCCACAAGAGAGACATGTTATCTCAGTAAGTCGGGAGCCAGTCCCAGGATGGACCCCAGGGCCAATGTGTGTGTGTGTGGGGGGGGGGGGGGCGCACTGGCAGCCGCTGCCGCACAGCTGGGTGGGCTGCTTGGGGAGAGCAGCCGGGCACACTTCGCCGGTGGGCACTGGCCGGAGGAGGGGGACAGAGCCTTCGGGAGCTGTGGGCGGAGGCAGGGTCTGGGGGACCCAGTGGCCGTGCCAGGACCGGGGACCTGACCCCGGGGCAGGACACAGGAACGGGGTCCCAGAGGCACGGTGATCGAGGGAACTGGAGATTTGAGATTGAACCTGCTTGCCAGCTGTTGACCTTGGGCAGGTAGTTTTTCTTTCAGGGTTGGTCTGTTTTATCATCTGGATGGAAAATTAGACACTCCATCCGTCCTCCTTCACGCTCCCCGCTCCCCCATGGTCCAGCATGGCAGCCAGAGGCCCGGCCATCTTAGCTGCATTCCAGGCAGCAAGATGAAGGAAGGACAATGAAAAGGGGTCAAAGGACACATGCCAGTTTACTTTAAAGAGAGATTCCTAGCCAAAACCGGTTTGGCTCAGTGGATAGAGCGTCGGCCTGCGGACTGAAGGTCCCGGGTTCAATTCCGATCAAGGGCATGTACCTTGGTTGTGCAGGCACATCCCCAGTAGGGGGTGTACAAGAGGCAGCTGATCAATGATTCTCTCTCATTGATGTTTTTAACTCTCTATCCCTTTCTCTCTCTCTGTAAGAAATCAATAAAACATATTTTAAAAAATAAAACATTTAGCCAGAACCGGTTTGGCTCAGTGGATAGAGCGTTGGCCTGCGTACTGAAGGGTCCCAGGTTCAATTCCGGTCAAGGGCATGTGCTTTGGTTGCGGGCACATCGCTAGTAGGGGGTGTGCAAGAGGCAGCTGATCACTGATTCTCTCTCATTGATGTTTCTAACTCTCTATCTCTCTCTCTTCCTCACTGTAAAAAATCAATAAAATAATAAAATTTAAAAAAATAATAATAATTTTTAAAAATAAAAATAAAATAATAAATAAAGAGAGATTCCTAGAGCTCTAGCCATTCTGGCTCAGTGGATTAGAGCGTCAGCCTGCAGACCGCAGGGTCCCAGGTTCGATTCCGGGCAAGGGCATGGACCTCAGTTGCAGGCTCCTCCCCAGCCAGGGCCCTGGTCAGGGCTCATGCAGGAGGCAACCAATGGCTGAGTCTCTCTCACATCAATGTTTCTCTCTTCCCCTCTCTAAAAACCAATGGAAAAATATCCTCAGATGAGGATTAAAAAAAAAGAACCTAAAAAAGAAAATTCCTAGAAATCGACACAAGACACTTTCACTTGATCACAGCCACATCCAGCCGCAGGGGAGTCTGGGATAGTCTTAACTGCCAGCTGAAAATGGGGGCCTGATACAGAGGGAAGATACGAATGTACGTTAGGGGAAACCATCTCTGCCACCTGACCCTTTCAACAAGCATGTGGTCCTTACCCATGTTGGAGTGTTTATGATACGATTGATGTCACAGCATCTCCTGAGCACTGACCGGTCCCGGCACAGAGTGCTCGCTGAGCACTAGGTCAGAGTGAGTGTTCACTGAGCCCTGGGTCAGAGTGCTGGTGAGCCCCTGGCAGAGTGAGTGCTCACTGAGCGCCGGATCAGAGTGAGTGCTCGCTGAGCCCCTGGCAGAGTGAGTGTTCACTGAGCCCCTGGCAGAGTGAGTGTTCACTGAGCCTCTGGCACAGTGAGTGCTCACTGAGCACCGGGTCAGAGTGAGTGCTCACTGAGCCCCAGGCAGAGTGAGTGCTCACTGAGCCCCTGGCAGAGTGAGTGCTCACTGAGCCCCTGGCAGAGTGAGTGCTCGCTGAGCGCCGGTTCAGAGTGAGTGCTCGCTGAGCGCGGGGTCAGAGTGAGTGCTCACTGAGCTCGGGGTCAGAGTGCTGGTGAGCCCCTGGCAGAGTGAGTGCTGGTGAGCCCCTGGCAGAGTGAGTGCTCGCTGAGCCCCTGGCAGAGTGAGTGCTCGCTGAGCGCAGGGTCAGAGTGCTGGTGAGCCCCTGGCAGAGTGAGTGCTCGCTGAGCGCAGGGTCAGAGTGCTGGTGAGCCCCTGGCAGAGTGAGTGCTCGCTGAGCGCAGGGTCAGAGTGCTGGTGAGCCCCTGGCAGAGTGAGTGCTCGCTGAGCGCGGGGTCAGAGTGCTGGTGAGCCCCTGGCAGAGTGAGTGCAGCGTGGGTGAGCCGGGCTGCTGTGTGGGGCAGTGGAGGCCTGCCGGGGCAAGCGGGGTCTGTCTTCCTCTGACCCGGGAGCCGGGCGGGCAGCGGCAGCCGCTGTAGAATCTGTGTCACCTCCTCCACCCCATCCTGCCCAACCTCCTCGGGAGCGACTCTGCGCCACCCTCACTGAGGGCCTCTCGGGGTGGGCAGTGAAGCCACAGGTCGGGGAGTCACGGCGTCAGTTGGGGTGGGGGCTGGTTCTGAAGCCGTGGGATCTCCCTGCAGCCCTGGAATACTCACGAGTGGGCAGTCACACAAGTCCTCCTGAAACTAGAAAACAGCAACAAAACGCCTTCATCTGACAGAACGGGGGCGGCCGGTGCTCCGTGGCCTTCCATGTGTCCCAGAGGGAGAGGAGCCACGCCCTGCCCTCGGAGACATCCTCAGCCACCTGGCAGGACGAGGAGGAAGCTGGGAGCTCGATGGGTGGTCCTCCTGGGACCCCGGAGGGGCTGGGCGGTGGGTGCCTGGATGTGGGTGTGCATGCAGCCTCCCTCCTTGCCCCCACCCTTCAGGGGCTGTGGCGAGCACGCTGCTGGGGCCGAGCTCCACACTGGGCTTGGGAAAGCTACCTACCAGCCCTTTCTGGCACCACTGTGTGCCGAGCCTGTGCCTGCAGGGTGGTTGGCCCATGAGCCTCGGATCCCTTCCCTCAGGGTTCTCTGAGGCTCCTTCCATCCCCGGCCTGGGGAGCCGACACTTCCTCCAGGAAGCCCTCCCTGACTTCCCTGCCTCAGGGCTCCCACAGCCTTCCGCCAAGGCTCTGGATTTCCACTGCTGCTTGCTGGTCTGTCCCAACCTCGGCTGGTCCCTGTTAGTGCTTCCTCTGGATATGCACCCTGTGCCTCGCACATGGTGTGAGTTCAGTAGCTATGCATCAGCCAATGAACAAATGTGAGTGAGTGTGTGAATGAATGAGTGAGTGAGTGAGTGAGTTCCCTGGCTGCCAGGGTATAGATCCCCCAGTGAGGAGAGGAAGACCTGTAAGGGTTAACCGGGAGCCCGCCTGTGGTCTGAGGTAAGCAGGGAGTGTATTTGTTCAGGTAAATAAGGAAGGATTACTTATAATGGGAAATCAGGCCCGGCCAACTCTTCATCCCAGGGCAGCCTGACTTCCTCCCAGCACATTCCTGCACTCAGCTGCGTCCACACTGCCCCGGAGACCCAGAGCCCGTGCCCAGAGCCCGAGGCGGCCCCCTATCCCCCTACCCCCACCCCGTAAGCCCTCCGGCTGCGTCTTACCACAGTGCCAGCAGGTGGCCTGGGGCGGGCAGCTGGGGGCTCACCACCCTGAGACCTCAGAGGGCTACCCTTGGAGGGTGGCCAGGCTGCCAGCGGCCCACCTGTCACCGCTGCCCCCAGCCTTGCCGGCCCCTGGTCCCGCTGGCTCCCCTGATGCCTGGCTGAGCCTCAGCCGCAGCCCCAGCTGCCCCCGCCTCCTCCTGGCCCCAGAGGCTGCAGCAGGCGACTCGGGCACCGGGCAGCTAACGGGTAAGTCCGGGGGCAGGTGCGGGGCGCCCTGCACGGCTTTCTCCTGCTGGCGGCCGGGAAGGGGACTGCGAGGACTGGGAGGTGCACTTCGCAAGCTGTCACTACCAGGGACTCTGCGACCTGGGTCCTTCACCCTCAGAAGCCCCTGCCTCTCTGCACGCTGCCTGGTCTGCCTCCCTGGCCGACGACCCCAGAGCCTCGGTGAGCCCCTTGGCCTGGCCAGGCCCGGGTGCCCCGTGTCTGTGAGGGCCCCCTCCGGGCTCAGCATGGAGTCCACCTGCTGGCCTGAGTGGCTGCTCTGTAGATGCAGACTCGGCTCTGGGACCCAGCCCCTCTGCTCGGCCGGTGGAACACGGCGGCCTTCCTGCTGCTGCCAGGCCGCTGGCCGGAGGGCTCTCCCGGGCTGCACACGGGGCGGGGGCTTGCTGGGGTCTGGAGGCGCAGGGCAGGGTCCAGGTTGGAGCAGCGGGGACGAGCCCAGAGCCCAGGGGCCCATCAGGGGGTGATGGGCACGGGAACCAGCTGGTTGGGGAGCTGCAGAGCAAAGCAGCTGGCTGCATGGGCCCCCAGAGGAGCAGAGGTCCTGGTTCCGGTCACACTAGCAGAGAAGCAGGGGTCCGTGAGGAGGCTCGTGTCTAAGACCCGCAGGTTCCTCTGTGGGAAGAGTGGGAAGTAGATGGTGGAGGTGACGGGTGGAAAGCTGATGGGTCTGGAGGTCTGAGAGCTCCCCTAAGGCTGGAAAAGGTGTGTGCATGGGAGGGTATGTGTGTGTGCCCCTGCACATGTGTCCACATGTATATGTGCACGCACACAGACACACATGCAAACCTGTATCTCTGTGTACATGTGAGTGTGTGCACACATGTGCGCGGAATGAACATGTGCCTTACACACGTGTGTGTTATATGTGTGTGTGCACATGTGTGTGCGTGTATGTATGCCCATCTGTGCGTGTTAGGGAGTGGGCAGGCCCACCAAGCTAGCCCTGGACTTCTCACCGCACCCTGCCAGCTGGGCACACCCAGGCCATAAGCTTCAGCGCCTTTCCCTCCATGGAGGTCACGGCCTTTCCTTTCCTCCTAGGCCAGGGCTGGCACTTGGCCTCATTCCCTGCCCCCACCTTCCCAATAAACAGCGTCACAGCACCCCAATAAACAGCATCTCCCCGCACCAGCTGCTCGGCTGAGTAACAAAGCAAACAGCCCTGGCCGCCCGCTCTGAGGTGGCGGCAGGGATGGGCAGGAGATGACCCACTGACAGATAGACCCAGAGCATGGCCAAGGCCAGTGAGGACCGTCCTGCCTGCCCCCTGGCCACCTGGAGGAGGAGCGAGAGCCAGGGACTCCGCATTCACATTCTCGGGGGCCCAGGAGGTCGGGGTGTGGAGGAGGTGGTCACTCACAGCACAGGGGACCGGCCTCCCCTCTGAGAGCCCAGCAGTGAACGGACAAGCGGCCCCTCTGCTCCAGGCCGGCGGGACCAGAGCTGAAAGCTGTCCCTGCCAGACGTGCTCACCGTGTTACCAACCATAACACCGGGCAGCAGGTCCCATGGACCCGTGAGAGGATGAGCTGCTCTGTCAACCAGGCCTGAGGGCACAGGGGCACCCAGGAGATGCTCAATCTCTGCTCAGAAACTGTGCCCAGGCAGCAGGCAGGAGAACCTGGGAGAGCCCGCTGCTTTCCTCTGAGGCCGTGGCAGAGACGCAGTTGATAACCGAAGCCATTAGAGCACAAGTTTGTGCTAAAGGGTGCAGCTCGAGTGCAACCTGGGAGGTCAGTTCCGGCTGACCTGGGACAAAGACCCTCCAGGGAGGGCGAGAGGGAACGGGTGGCCACAGTGTGTGACTTTGGGCAAGTCATTCTCCTCCTGCACTTGCCTGTGTAATGAGGTTGACAGGTGGCTTCATCAGGGGGGCTTCCTGGAGGAGACAACCTGGAGCTGGGTTTTGAAGGGTGTGTAGGAGTTGGTAGAGCAGGCTGGCTGGCTGGATCTGCTAACTTTGGGAGACTTGTGTGCCTCCCAGCTTTGTGGCCCAGACTGAGGTCAGGGGAGGTGGGGGGGGGGTGCTCTGGCCCCTCCAAGAGGTCAGGGAGGGGTGGCTGAAGCTAACAGCTGTCCTAGACCGAGCTTGAGAGCAAGAGGGCCTCGGGGCAAGGCTCAGGCCTCCCTCACTACCATCCTCAACTCTCCCCCAGACTCCACCCTTCAGCCCTGCCCCTCCTTCCTCTCCCCTCCCCCCTTCCCCTCCCCCCTCACCACCTGCTTCTTCCTTTATTCTCCTCATTCTGTACCCATTCCCTTTCTCTTCTCCCTCTCTTTTTCTAAAATTATTGTTTTTTTGAGAGAGAGGCTAGGAGAGAGAACCATTAATGTGAGAGAGAAACATCCATCATTTGCCTCCCATCCACAACCCAACCAGGGATCAAACTGGGAACCTAGGCATGTGCCCTGACTGGGAATTGAACCTGCAACCTTTTGATGTATGGGACAATGCTCCAACCAACTGAGCCACCCGGCCCAGGCACCTCCCCACCTGCTCCCAGGTGCCACAAGGAATTTCCATCCACCTGCTCCCCCAATCTTCCACCATCCCTCTAAGACACACTCCGGGTGGCCCATTTTACAGAACGGACAAGTGAGTCTCAGGAAGCCCAGAGCTAGGAGGTTGGCTCAGACCTGGTCTGGGGCCCTCCCCCACCCGCCCATTCCGTGCCCCACCCCGCGCCCCCAGCGAGCAAGTGGCCTGTCAGGTGGAACAACTCTTCTCAAAGCAAACTTTGCACAAGCGAGTCGCCCTGGGCTCTTGCTGACATTTAGTGCCTGGCTCCGTCCCCTGCCTCGTTTGCATGTTCCCAGCCCCGAGGTGCCTGCCAGGTTCTCCCTCTTCCCTCCATAGGGAGGGTGAGCGCCCTCCTCCCTCGCCCACTGCTCCCCGGTGGAGCCTCCGGGGGCCCTGCTGCTGGCCGGAAGGGCCGGCGCCCACCAGGACCGGAGAACGGGCGCCACAGGAATGGGGCGCCCCTCCCGTCCCCCTCCAGCTCTGGCGCTGAGAGAGAGATCTGGGGGTAGCTGCCTAATAACCCCTCAATACACCCCCCCCCCCATTTAAACCTTTTTTAAAAAGCGATTTCTGTTCTTAGTCTCTCAAGACAGTCCATTCTGGACGTCTATCATTTTCTGAATATCAAACTGTCTGCACTTCACCAAACCCCCTTTCCAAGCCAAGGTGTGCTCGTTGGCCCTCGGGTGGGGCTCAGGGCACCCTCAGCCCCGTCAGGGTCCCCGGAGCTGGGGGAGCAGTCTCCGGCCAGCCTGAGGGCCTGCAGGAGGCCACGGAGGGTGGGCACCCTCTCGGGAGACGGAAGCACCTGCTCACATCACTGCTCTGCCTTGTCATGCTGACCCCAGGAGCCCATTTTCCCGCCTGGGGCCAAGGGCGATGTCTGTGCCACAGGCAGAGTCAGGTGAAACCGCGTGTGTGTGTGTGTGTGTGTGTGTGTGTGTGTGTGTGTGTGCAGGTGGGGGTAGACAAGGTGCCGGAGGAGTGCGGGGGGCGTGGGGGCCGAGGAAGGGGTTGGGAAGACTTAGGCACCACAGCCTGTGTGGTGATCAGAGGGGGGACCTGCAGGCCGGGCGTGGCAGCTCCAGGGGGCCCAGAGCTGGCCCAGCACCGGACACGGGAGATGTTCACACCCGGCGTGGGCTCAGCCGGAGCCGAGGGAGGACGTGCTTTGCAGTTTCTGGAAACGGAAAGTGTGGCAGGATTTGCACTTGACACGCGGGAAGTCGGGGTTCTGGCCTGACCTCAGCGTCTGTGCCCACTGAGGAGCTGGGAGGGCGATGCCGGTGAGAGGGGTGAGGGCCGCGGGGCGGGTGCCCTGCCAGCTCAGGAGGGTGGGCCAGGCCTCCCAGAGGCTCTGGACGCCGACTCCAGAGAACAGGTGCCGGGGACCCAGCCCCCCAAACAGAGTGGGCCTCGGTCCCCAAGGCCACGTGCCTGGAGCAGGCACACGGGCTGAGGCTGGGAGAGCCCAATGGAGAGCCTTCACCTTGACCCAGAGGGGCTGGACGGGTCAGTGGGCGGCGGAGCCTCAGGGAGATGGAGCTGAGGGACTGTGCTCGGGCTCCCAGCTGCCCTGGGGACCGCGGGAACAGGGCAGAGACCAGATTTCCTGGGTGTACCTGACCCTTTTGTTTCCTGTGCCCCGTCCTCCTGCTGCCTGGCCCTGTCCCCCACCCTCCCCCGACTCTCTGGTCCCCACATGGCCTCACCCATCCCCCAGGTCTCCCACACACCCCAGCTCCCGGGCCCCTGGCTGGCTCCTCAAGTTGAACCTTCTGGGGAGCTGGGCTCCTGAGCAAGGAGGCCAGTGGCTGGACGAGCCAGGAACCCAGGAGGTGGGGATAGCCCCAGGGTCTAACCTAAGCTGAGCCCCAGACCCAGGAGCCCCTCCCTTCTCTCGCCTCGGAGTCCCCGGAGGCAGCAGGTGCTTAGGGATGGCCACAGCAGGGGCTGGGGAGAAGGCTGCCTGCAGGTGGCCGCCCGGGGTCCCGGCCTGGGTACGAGGGTGGCCTGTCCACTGGGGAGAGGAAGGTGGTCCATGGGGAGGGGCTTTTCTTGAGCCCAGCTAGTTTGAAGATCAGTTTCAAAGGGCCATGGAGCTGTGGCTCCTGGGGGGCCAGAGCCATCCACGGAGAGGTGAGGGCCAGGAGGAGCGGCAGGGGGAGCAGCGACTGTCTGGAGCTTCAGCACCAGTGGGGGCCTCCTGTGGCCGGGCCTCCTGTGGCCGGGCCTCCTGTGGCCGGCCCTCCTGTGGCCGGGCCTCCTGTGGCCGGGGGTCCTGTGGCCGGGCCTCCTGTGGCCGGGCCTCCTGTGGCCGGGCCCTCCTGTGGCCGGGCCTCCTGTGGACGGCCCTCCTGTGGCCGGGCCTCCTGTGGCCGGGCCTCCTGTGGCCGGGCCTCCTGTGGCCGGGCCTCCTGTGGCCGGGGCCCTCCTGTGGCCGGGGGCCTCCTGTGGCCGGGGGCCTCCTGTGGCCGGGGGCCTCCTGTGGCCGGGGGCCTCCTGTGGCCGGGCCTCCTGTGGCCGGGCCTCCTGTGGCCGGGCCTCCTGTGGCCGGGCCTCCTGTGGCCGGGCCCTCCTGTGGCCGGCCCTCCTGTGGCCGGGGATCTCCTGTGGCCGGGGGATCTCCTGTGGCCGG